CAGGTTCTTTCTTTCTAAATGTTGACTGTTACCATTGTTGCGCCGCCAGGCATTTATTGGCTAAGACCTTAAAACTTGGACAGTTTTTAATGCGTCTCTCTCTAGAGGTGTGTTTGTCCTCACTTTCCTACACTCTCCTCCTCTCCCTGTCTCTTCTCAGGGTGCTTCTGCTGAGGAATCCTTTCTAGTCTGGAGTTTGAGAACAGTTGCCCAGCGCCGTCACATCAATCAATTGATCCAACAGTTTTTCTACAATCAGGATGAATGAAGTCTAGCACGAAGTCTAGCACGCATCTTAACAGTTGCTTTAACAACTCCTCAGAGGTTTTCAGCATTGGTTCTGAATCTGCATTCCAGTCGTGATCTCTCCTCCTCGACCCATTGGAGTTATCATTTCCCAGTAAGGCCGGCCTAGGAAAACAGCCTCTAAATAGTACCTCATGGTTGGAAGCATCCTTCAGTCTGATTAACTTTTTTTATTTTGATTTAATCCTACATTGTTGTGCCCTTTTCCTGGAGACACCATGTGGTGTCAGCCAAAATCAGCCCTGCTTGCGAAGCGGAGACCAAATGCAGAACAGGTTCTAGCTGTTTGCGAACGGCCTGTTCCTGTGGAAACGGATGATTGGTCTGAAGCATGCAGGTTTAAATGAAGTCGTCCCGTGGAAGCGTTTAGCACACACAAGTGTAGTAGAGTCACTGCTGTTGGGTGTGGACTGACCCTGCTCAGTTATCAAAATCAAAGCAATAGTTGTGTCAGAACACATTTTTCTTGTTTTCTTTTTCTTTTTTTTTAAATCCCGTGCCAGACATATTATTCCTTGTATTTTAATTTTTCTATGTGCGGAGACACCTTTTTATCCTTATCCTGCACTTCTCTTGATTTTCTGAGATTATGCAGTTTTACTTTGTGATAATCCTCATTCTAACAGTTACTACAGGAGTTCATTCAAAGCATGCGACTACCCATAAAACAACACATCTTTCTTTTAGGTAGTTTTTCTTGCTGACCAGTAGTATCTTCAGAGATGACTAATATGAAATCACACATTGAAATGGGGCTTTTCGAAAACACCCACTGATTAGGAAGTTTAGGATCTGCTTTGTTCTTTATAGAAGGCTCTTAGCCCCTTACATTGTGTCCTAACCAGGTATGAAACGATAAGACAAGCGATAAGTCGTGCTTGAGTTGCAGTTGCATCTGAAAAAAGCACTAAGCAACAGGACGCTTTGTTTTTCACATTTGTCCGTTTTTATTTTTGTGGTATTGTGCTCTGTTAGCTCCGCCAACTATTATTAAAACCTCATTGGTCCAAATTCATTCCATAGGTTTTGACTGGCTGTGTGATTGTGTCACAGGCATGTTTGCTTTCAGATTGGATGGTCAAATTCACTGGAAACTTGTCACGTCACACCTGGTTAGGACTGGTGTTGAACTTCTCTTGAAACTGCTCTTCTCTGGAAAGAGCTTCGTTAATAGAGTTTTTATGGTTTCTTCTTTAGTTTTTGTAACTGGTGAACTCTTGTACAGTATTGCGTTCTATCTCTGTTCTTGGCAATATTACCCACGAGTGATGTTTAAAACTTGTACTGCAGGTCTTGTATTGCACAGGTAAGTTCAATCGATTTACGTTGACTCTTTAATGGGAATCAGATATGTGTTTTATTGTTTTTTTTTTTCTTTTAATAATGAAGGGAACATGTTTGTGTTGTTTTGAAGTATTCAGTTTTGTTGGTGGTTTTTGGCTCATGAGAAACTGACAGGCAAGGATGACACTGTTTACACATTAGCCAAGAGAAAATGCTGCAGTTTCACTTTTTGTAGTTACTGAACATTTTCAGATGGATGAAATCATGACTTAAGTGCAATTAGACCAAATATTATAAACATTAGGAAGCTCATGTTTTATTTCAAAACAGCATTCCAGAAAGAACCTGACATTCCCATTTTTTGTTGTTGTTGTTTTTGTAGTTTCTCTTTTTCCCTCTCAATATTTTGATGCCACTTCCTTGTCAGATGCAAATTTTTATTTCCATTTTGGCCCAAGTTCTTTCATGAGACCTTTGATATTTCTCTGCATTGTTGGCTCTTGGCATTGCTGGGCTGTCTGAGTTTGGACCAGGATTCAACTGTTTTGGCCTCTTGCTATCACTCAAGTCTTTAAGAGAAGAGTTTTTTTGTTTGTTTTTGGGTAAGAAATAATATATTTTTTATATAAATGTAGCACTAGCATTGGACCGGTTAGATTTCGACTTCCTTCAAACTGCATCAACCTCAACGATACCACATTTCTGTGAAGTTCTTAAACCTCTGATGTTAAAGAGAAGAAATTCGGTATGGTATAAACAAGGGTCGCTTGAATTCACAGGACTCATGACTAGGGCTGTCACTAATGATTATCTTGGTAATCGAGCAATCTGGCGATTATTCGAACGATTAATCGAGTATTCTGGGGTTTTTTTGTAATAAAAATATACCTAAGTGAACAATTAGGGTTCCAAAGAGGTGGAAAATTTCTGGAAACTTTCCAAAAATCCCTGGAATATTCCAAAAAAATCCTGGAAAGTTTCCAAAATTTCTGGAATATGTCCGAAATTTACTGGAAATTTAACTTTTTTGCAACCCTACGAACAATAGACTTTAAAATGACTTAAAACACACATATAATAGCAATGAGGCAATAATAATTTATTCAAATAAAATATCTAAAGCAAATAATCATTTGGTTTTATTGAACAAAACCATTAAAACACATCATGTAATGAAATAATATAATCATAACTTATGCACATTTTGTATTATATCACATACCTGCAGAGGGTGCCAGTGGCCTGATGATTGTTTTTACACTTTACAGCGCGATCTAATCCTTCTTTAATATTTGCTGCAGTCATCGCACTATCAATGCCTAAACATAGCGCCTAATGAATCTGAGGTGGTCAGGTGGTACAAGTTGTAATTACGAGTTCAAAGAGGTCGCTTTTTACAAGTTGGTATCTCGTAATCATGGTAATTACGATATGGCGTGAACGCACCTATTGACTAAACATTTAATTCAATTGTCCAATTAATGTTTAATTTTTGGTCACTTCTTTATGATAGAAATGCTACAGCCACTGTCATTTCTTGAACAAGAACATGTGGACATCAAAACATGCAAACTCAGAGCGAGGGTTTACACTTTTATTTTGAAGTAGCGGTAAACATTTAGCATGTTGAAAGATGGTGTATTCTCCTGTGCTGGCGTAGGTTTATAAATGATTTACCTTATAAATCTGATAGAATGGTGTGCACTGTTCCCAGATGAACGTCACAAGTAACTCGGACTCACAGCATATGCAAAGATGGAGGTTGAGCAGGTCTGCGCATGTACATGATAACTGTTTATGTGGAGCAGCAGATGCACGTAACCTACACGAATATAAATAAAGCTCATATTAAACCCGCAGCACATATATTTATTTAACTGAATCGCAGCCTTTGTGAATTCACAATAGCACTATGCTTTATTATGATGTTTAAATGGTTTTAATATTTCGTGCAGCCTTCGAAAATGGTCTTATAATGCTTTTATGCGCCACTTCCGGTGTTCTGCGGGTTAATCGACACGGGTAAAATGCAATCAAGGATTTTTTTATAATCGAGTACTCAAATTTAATCAAGAAATTGTGACAGCCCTACTAATGACTAATTATGAGGGTGCACTTAGTGGGCCCCATAACCTCTTGTTCCCCATTGACAACGGCCCTGGTATAAGCCCACCTGGTTTTTCGGCATTACCAACAAGTCAGATTTAAACGAAATAAAGAAATGGCAATGTGTATTTTGAGTATTTGGTTTTGATCACCTTAAATTGGTTCAAATCCATTTGTTGTTTGCATTTATGAAGCATTTCACAAGCATCATCTGTTGTATTTCGTCTGTTAATATTTTGTTTGAAGACATCCTGTTCCTTCTTAAAAGGAGTCCCACTTTCATGCTATTTATAATCTGGTCTCAAATCTAGTTCATCTTATTTCTTCCTTCCTGTCCCCTTTGTCCTAGAACGTTTTGTGGCACTTTGGATCCCTTTAAGTTCTTAGAGGACACTTAGTTATACTTCATTTTCAACCTGGTGTGAACTGTCCAAAAGGGCCACAATTGCCATCTAAAGCCTTGCAGACACAAATCAAATATCTTCCCGACCAGGAAAAATGGCTTAAACCATCTCGATTTGGTCTTCTGGGCTCAATCCAGTTGGTCAGCAAGCTGGTTTAAGTTATTACGTTGTTTCTTCACATATTATTCGAAATTAAGACCTGTTCCATTATTTTAAGTATTAGATTTGACATGAAGCAATACTCGAAACAGCAGAACGATACAGCTTTAGCATGAGCTATGCAGTAGAGACTCAGTCAGCACCCTAATGCAGTTTCAGTACTCAAATCTCACCAGTTCGTCTGTGGTCTGTTCAAAGAAGTCAGCTGCACGTTCAATATCGTTGTGCATTTTGCGTTTTTTTTTCTAGGAACCCACAGGCTCTGTGACATTTATGGTAGCGATTAAGCGATTAGTTATCACACTACCAAATCACATAAGCCGAAGATTATATGGTGTCGCTTGTTTGGTGCTGTATGTTTTTTTTTGTTAGCAATGGTGCACTGTTCTCTGTCTTCTCAAATGCACTGCCTTACCAGCCATCTCTTGTCGAGATGTAATCTCCAATCTGCAACCTTCCTGGCGGAGATGGACTGGGTACGCTTTCATTAAGAACTGAGCTACTATCCTGTGCACTGCACAAGGAGAGTTGACGCTATGTTTGTGCCTTCCCAATGTCTTAACTTTACTCTGGTCTGTCTTATTAGGCTTTGTTCTCTGGGAGATTTGCGCATCTCCATTTTGCTCTTAATGTCTTCACGTCATATATCTCACAGGCTTGAAAACCCTACTGTGCTGTTGAGGGTCATTTTGATCATATCTAAACGTAAACCATTCAGCCTGAAACTTCATGGCATCCTAAATACTATAATTAGAGAAATTACAATAGAAAATTTGTGATTGAGTGCTACGGTGATTACTTGTATTTGAAGGCCAACCTGAAAGTTCGCATCACATTGGTTCCCTCGACAAAAACCCAGTACGATTTTTCCATTGGCTTTTGGATTGTTGCAGAAAATAATCTGTGACCAACAAACGTTTGAGTCTTACACATTTTGTTCATCATAAGCTTCACAAATGAACACAACTTTAATGAATTTTGAAGCCTAAATCCAATTGCCAGATGTAAACAGACTTTAAATTAGCTACACCATGGTCACATGACTTCATCACCACCATTAAGCTTCTGACAAACTCTTTCAGTCTTTATTTAAAAAAAATAATAAATTAACATACTAGACAACCTATAGTCCCTGAACCTAAACCTGTAGTCCCATTTAGCTGTTTTTAAGCAACCAACTTTTTCAAAACAAGCAAAAGCTTAAAAAACAAGGGGGTGTTTTTGATGTATTTTATGTCGGTGAATAAAACGTGAGCTTATCTTGAGGACCACAGACCTTATTTCCTGGGGGGAATGTGTAAAATGTGACTCTCAAACTGTTATTTTTATCATTCAGGGTCAATTTAAAGTTGTATCTTCAATGGTAACAGCACAGAAGGGTTAAGCACAAGCTTCATTCCTATAGTTAGTATGCGTCTGCATTTCCTTCCTTCTACGGATGTGTGAAAATTAATCATAACATGTCCTTACTTCACCTTTGCATACATGTCAAGTACAGCGTCCCCTTTCAAAGCATTTCATGTCCCTGTAATGATTAGGGCAGCTGCACACTAGATAAATGTACGGTTTAATGGTTAGAAAGCATTTTGAATGAGTTGAAATAAAGTGGGAATTTATTTTCCAAAATACTTCCAAAAACACAACCAGACCAGCCCGCAAATGAGTGTGTTGTTGTTCAGATTCAGGTTTTGGTTGCATGGCAGGTCGTGTTTTTTCCTCCTTCAGTGATGATATTTCTAGAGTATATCTGGTGTGTAGATGCCCTTTTCTTCTTTGCATTTAGGGAATCCCATGTTGTTCTTCCATAGAGCCTAAACTAATCATGTAACATAGACGTTTGTCACATTGATGCAATGAAATGTTCTGCACTTATTTCCCTCACATATAGTGTTACGGTAAATGTTTCACTGTCATATTAAATCATTCGAAACCACGTAAAACAATCATCCAACATTTGTATGCTTGTACAGATATGAAGATAAGTTTTGTATAGTATTAGCTTGTCAATAACGCCTTAAGATGTGCACCGTTCGTAAACGATGCGCATGAGTGACTCCCCGCTTTTCAAGGTCATACGATTTCGCATGGAGACAAAGTCTCATTCATTTCTAGTTGTATTGACCGTGGACTCCTCTGTAAAGGTGGCTTGGGTTGCTCACTGACAACAATTAGTGACGTTGCACTTACTGATTGTAAGATGATGTTTTTGGGACTAGCTCATAATGTGTATCTTTGTTGAACAAAATGTAAGCTTAACATGCGTTCTAAATCTTTAATGTTTTATTTATATTTTGCTCTTGTTAGTAGGGCAGAAGTGAAGACCGATGCTTTGCACTGTTGACATCCCTGATTCTAGCTCGGAAACATCTTCCTTCACTTCCTCAGTGCTTTGTAGAGAAAGCGTGTGATGTTTGAATCTCGCAAAACCCAGTGTTGGGAAGGTTACTTTGGAAATGTAATGGGCTACAGATTACAAGTTACCCTATTTAAAATGTAATTAGTGTAACTATTTCAGTACTTTATTAATGTAACTGATTACATTTGATTACTTTTCTAAATTGCTAACGAATGTTTTCAACTGTTAATCAACTCTCAGACAATCAATCCGTTAATCAACTCTCAGACAGCTTGTAGCCTAAAGCTTTCAGCAGCAATGTGGATTGATAGAATTGGTAGAATACTGCAAATTCAAACGAGAACCAATCAAAAGCATCAAAATAGCATTGCTTTACTAAACTGCCTTTAAATGGCAGGAGGCATCATGCACATCAGAAACAGGCAAAGCAACAAAATAATATTATTCAACATATCCTAGCTTTTTACAGAATATATTTAGATGTAACCCCCTTTGTAATCATTAACATTTTCATAAGTAACTGTAATGGATTACAGTTACATTTATTTTGTAATTTAATTACTTAACACCGTTACATGTACCTAGTTACTCCCCAACACTGAGACAACCATATTTTGCCCCAAAATCAAATGGGGGAAAATCTAAGCATGTTAAGAGAGGGGAAAAAAAACTAGATTTCTTTTTAAATTTTGTATTTGAAATATTACAAAGATTCTTTTCTCAATGGGCATTACTATTGAGAAAATGCATGTTTTATGCTTAAAAAAAAAAAAATCACTGGAGCTTGCGCTTTTCTCATTAAAGTGGTTTGAGGAAGTGAGTGAAAGCTAAATTCATTGGAGTCTGTGTTAGAAGATGGTGCGTATAAAGCGAGAATCTCTGCAGTTATTGATCTAGTTGAGGCTAAGAGTCCTGGGAAATATTTTACAGAAGTCCAGTTAGTCTCCCTGTTGACTGTCGTGCGAATGGAGAGTTTTTGGAGCTGACATGTCATATATAACCGTCTGTGTTATGGATGAATGTGTGCAGTTCTGTGTATCGGTAACATTTCAGTGTGTTATATGAATATATTGCTTTGGAAGGCTTTATGAAGCTAACACGTGGTGGTTTTGTGTAAATCCCAGACAGAATTCGGTGGCATGGCAGGCCAGAGTCAGTAATGTCGGCTGAAATCAGGTTTCTAGCGGTTTCAAGGTTTTAAAGGAGTCATTATATACTCTCGAATCTGACATTGTACTTCTTGGCACTAAGTGACACTGCTTTTTATGTGATGTGTGACCAGTTTTAAAAGAGATGGCATCTTTGTTTAATGCATAAAATCTGCGAAATATATGCAATGATGTATGTGTAATATTCAATCCTCAAGTATAATCCAGGTTGTGTAAACTTTGTATAGTACATTTTAATATCGTATGGCCGTACCAATATGTATTAATTCTTCTCAGAAGCCTTAGAGTCGTCTACCCAAAGTGCTCCCTTAGACTACCCTACACCTACCTGAACTTTACAAAGCATTAATAACTATATTTTGTTGCGTTTTTATTTGTACCCTTTTTTGAATAAAAATAGATTTGTACTGTATATTTGTACCTCTCTGTGAACTACTTATAGGGCTGTTTTGTTTTTTGTTTTCCTGTTTTAATTCTCTGTAAGGACACAAAGATATTGTATTTTTATTGTTACAGCTAACTTCTTGGAAACGTTGCATTTATCATGTTTGTTAAGTAAACACAATATAATATATATCTATATCTATATAATATTAACATGCTGGCTTGACGTCTGTTTCTTTAATATGCATTCCATTCAATTAGTAATTGTAATAAATTCTAAATAGAGTTGTAAAAGTGCACCAACGAACCGGAGTAATTCAATGCAGAGATTAATAATAGATTATGATTACAAAAATACCCGATGTATCATGCATTTTTTAAATCTGAAATACAAACCTTGAGTCTGTGACTGTATAACTTTGTGTATTGCTCTTTTTTTTTATATTCCACAAAGGGGTGAAATATTTTTTTGTTTTCAGCAAACTTTTGAAAATAATTAAGATGATTGAATCAAAACGTATTGTGACCAAATTCAAGTACAATGCATCTTTTTATTACAGTGGGGCCTGAAAGTCTGAGACCATTCCTGAAAATGCTTGATTTTTTTTTTCATGACAATTTTTGAATACCAGATTTTCAATGTGGTCTCAGAGGTTTTAATCCCACTTTACATATGTATATACTTTTTCTAGAGAGAAAGACAGAAACGCTCATAGCAGTAAAATCAATGTTTATTCCACATTCTGTTCCTGCTTTTCATGACGAGCTTTCAATCTGGTTAGCCAATAACAGAGCTTTCTGAACAGGACCATTTGGCATTGTGATCAGTGTTATTCTAGTCACTCTCATTAAGTTTCATTCATTTTGGCCTTTTAGATTTGTAAACATTATCATGAAAATATCTAGATAGACTGACAAAAAGGCAAGTCATTACTGAACTCCAATCCTTAATGAAAAGCTCGTATATAAATGCATTTAGAACATGTATTTTATAACATGCAAGTTCCATTTCCAGGGGTTTACTGACTTACATGCACAGACATGTAAAAGAAAATGGTTGTTTAATACATAACATGTCACATGGCAATGCATACCACTAAAAATACTAGTTTAGGAATAATGCAGACTAAACGGGGTTAATGTTTGAAAATACTCTTTTATATATATTTTTTCTTCAAAATAGACAATGCATCCTGCCAACATCTCGTTCTGGACTACAGCGAATCATTTGATTTTTTTCATTGCATCAGGATGGGTTTCCACAACTTTGATGCTACTGTACAAAATAACTGCTTTATAATGAATTTCAGGGTATTGATCGTAAAAATTGCATTGCTCTTCCTGAATGTGCATACATCAACTACAACTCGGTCCTTATCAATGGAGTAACTGAAAACAAAGCTAAGGATGGATCTCGTGGGTGAGGTTACGGACTTGAGGACCAATGGCTTGACTGTCAAGAGTTGCCTGAGGTTTGTGATCTGGAGCATTTGAGTCCATTTACTTTCATATCAACTGCATAGTAGTAATACAAAGTTTCTTGAGTACAGCTCTCAATTGCATAGTGATGCTTCATCACATGTACATTAAATCCTTTCTTTTTCTTAAGGAGCCCATCATTAATACTTCACGACAGCATAAACGTGGGACCAGTATCCAGTTGCCTTCAACTGTGCGGGAAAGCTCAGCTGCTTCGCTATGAGTATTAGAGGTATCTCTAAAGAAGGTAATGACAACATTGTGAATTTAAAACACTGAAATGTGCGTCATTCACTGTAGTAATAAATAAATTGTTATAAGTATTGGAATGAAATACAAGACATACCATACACTCACACAGTCTACCCTGTTTTCAAGAGGTACTTACAGATGTACAGTGGTCCGTTTTAACATGACTGACCCTTCCGCCCAATATGACACACTGAGCAGTGAGTAAGGTTTCAAGGTTATGTGTGTAATGTTCTCCCAACTTTACATGCAGAGTGGTTCTCAAACTGTGGTTTGCGAGTTTAGTCAATAAAAAAGACGTAAATAAATAACATAAGCACCAACATTGAACAAACCGACTAATTAACATAATTAATTAACATTCATTTTATGACAAAGTGTTTTGTTATCTGTCTTTATATGTCAATGTACGTAATGTGAGTTTGGTCCAATTAGCTTGCAAACAGTCGGCTCATTGGTTTATTAGCTAAAAGAAGCATTCATTTCTATAAAATAAGAACAAAACAGCCTTCTGGAAAATGTATAGAACTGTGGCTCAAGACAGAATCGGTGAAAAGGGCATTGGATGAGACCCTAAAATGAAATTTGCTGGTCTGCTTTTGTAGTTTTACTCTTGACGTGGTTAACCCAAAAAGTTTAAGAACCACTACCATAAACACTGCGGTGCTTATGCTTTGTTTGTTGGGCGTTCTAACATGTCAACTTCTGAACTGGTTTGAATTTTTTGGTGGGAGTACCTGTTTGGTGAATGGTGGAAGACAGGGGGCAGTGTTTGGGATGCAAGTGTTATTTTGGCATCTGCCTTTGCAATCAGATATTGCGCAGAAATTACACACTTCACCTTTTAATTAGTGTGAAATGTGAATGTGTCTTTACCTTGTCATTTAAATTTTTACATACATATGCAGCATCATCACTGCTTCATATAGGAGGGATTTCTCTCTGGAAGTTTTTGTCCTGATTGTTTCATTGTACATGCATTCGCTAAACCTTTACATCATTGCACATCTCATAGAATTAGCACACAAATTCATTTAAATCATTAAATATAAAACCAAAGCACAACTTTCCAGTGACAAAGGCAACAATTTGAATTTGTACACTATGCATGTTGCCATAGAGATCTAGCACACACTAAGTACCTCACCATTAACAACAAGCATTCCCAGGTCCAGTGCGGGTCCGCACTGGTTTAAAGAGGTAACATACACGTTATACAGTACAGTGACAGCAGCAGAGGGCAGAGACTGGTTGGTTAGTTGAGACGTCATGGAGTTGTGTAATATCCATATCGACATTTTGGCTCAGGTGAGGAGTTTGCAGTCTGAACAAGAGAAATAATAATGAAGAATGAGGAAGAGGAGGTCTCCTGCACCTCTGCGTTCTCAGGTCGTGAGGATGCCGGTGATCCACACCATCCCTGAGTTCCTAGACAAATATCAACCCGTGTAGCATTGTGATAAGGTATAAAGCCTTTCGGAGGTCAGAGAAGTGTGTCTGAATGTGCTTTGAAACAGATACTTTTAGTATTTAACAGTACATCTGCACCTTTCTCTTTTAAAAAAGGACAAAGTCGCCACAAGAGGCCTTGTCCCAAATGGCACCCTCAGCCCTTGAAGTCCTTCTTGAAGTCCACACTTAAGTGATATAAAACCGCATAGACTCTCGGGTAGCAATCCGTTTCCAAAGTCCGCACCAGGCTCAACTAAAGGGTGCACTGAGGGATACAGTGGCTGTAAAGGTGCCATCCTTGTCATTTGTGACAAGTAGGGCACCTTATGGTCTTGTGAACATAAAACTGCATAAGCAAAGACCACGAGACTGCAAGCCCATTTAGATTTCAGCATTTGGGTCAGCGGCACTCAAACAGCATTTAAATAAGGTGTTGTCGTTTCGGCGAACATGTAGAGCAATGATAATACCAGGGGTGTCCAATCCTGCTCTAGGACAGCCCCCATCATGGAGAGTTTAGCTCCAATCTGCTCCAACACACCTGCCTGGGTGTTTCTTGTAACCCTGAATACCTTGATTAGATGGTTCAGGGGTGAACTCTGGAGGATGAACCCTCTAGGAGCAAGGTTGGACACCCTTGGACTAGAGTGTGTGTTGGCATAGGGAACAGTAAGTCAGTGTGTGGACCTGCATGGCCCCTGTGGTTCCGGTTGAGGCCACAGGTGTGACTAGGCCATGCAAGGATCCCATGGTGAGGTAGTTGCTTCTGTGAGTATGAGTTAGTAGTGACCCAATCTAGGGTCCTGGGAGGTGAGCCATAGTTGCAGGTAAACTCCAACCTTTTAGACTGGCAAATTTGAAGAGTAGGCTGAGTGTGGAGTGTGGCTACATGTCTCACTCCTGTCACTGTAGGTCTGTGTGCAAACCGAGAACCTCCTTCTGGAAGGATCTCACTGCTCTGAAGAAAGACGGCTAAAAGGCTGAGCCTTGAAAACAAAGTAGACAAGTCTCCTAAAACATGCTTACAGAGAGGGTAACATGTTTGCCCTTCTGTGAATGTCGGAATTTTCTTATACAAGTTCAGTTAATTATGTAAGTCAGTTTGTTACAGAGATCCATAAAGGGTTGTTCACACTGACCGCAATTAAATCACTGGAGGTCGGCAAGTCGACATGCTGTTGGTTGCTAGTAGGTGTTCCTACTTGACTGGTTGTGATTGTAAGGGACTCTGGTGCCGCAGACTCCTCTTTCCTCTTCTGACTACCAGATGGGAATATCATCTGTATGATGCCTGCTCTTCTTTTGATTTTTTTACTGAAATCGTAGTTAAAGGGATGAAGGCCCCTAGAGGGATTATCGAATATGTCATTGTAGCCTGCTAAACATTGCCAAGCTCTTGCTGTTGACTACTCTAATCCGCCACCCTTAGGGGGTGCAATTGCCGGTCTTGTCTATCCTGTAGAACCACTTCTGTCCTCAACTGCGATATCCAAGTGTAGTAGGAAGAGGAAAATGTGAACTTCGCTGTCTACACTCCAATTGGTAGTCTCCATGTGTGTTGCCGCCTATCTGCATAAAGTTGAACTCTGGTCAACATTGTTGCATTGCAACTCATGGTCTATCATGTCGCCTCAAATCTCTCTTTGAAAATGAAAGACATCTGGTGCCTACATCACTGCAAATCGCTGTCAGGTTGAGCACCTCCTTGAATCTGCAAGACCATAACCTTCTCATCACAGTTATGTTCAAGATAGTTATTCTTTAAGAATGGCAAATTCTTCTCGAATGTTGGGCTGAGAGGTGTTTGGAGCTGTGCTTGTTAGGGAAGCTTCATAAACAACCCATTGTCCATAGACGGGACAGACATGGGAAAGGAAAACTGGAATAGACTCATATCAGCAGTGAGCGCAGCCATCGCAGCAGGGTCATGCTCGATCTGGTTTCTCAGCGATGGGTCGATCTTCTCCAAGCGCCGCTTTAGCCTCTTGGCCTCCCTCTCACGGATTAGCCGCGCCTGCCTCTTCTCGGGTGTCTCGTTGGCACGCTTGAGTCGCATGGCTTCCCGGTCTCGCTGCAGACGACGTGCCCGTTGTTCGTCTGTCTCCTGCATCCTTTGCAACCGCTTTGACTCACGGTCTCGTAAGCGGCGCATCTCCCGCTCCTCTGGTGACTCACATGCCCGCTTGGTCTTCTTGGCCGTTCGCTCACGTTCAAGCCGCTGCATCCGCACCCCTACAGGTTCGTTCTTCCTACGGACCGCCCATTTCCGCATGGACGGCGACTGGGCATCCACAAGCTGCTGGTAGGCTACACAGCCGTTGCAGACCAACAAAACCCCAGCTGGGTACACGGGCATAGGGTTCATGAGGTCTGGAAGAGGCGGAAGTCCTGTGTTTGGAGGATTAAGGCTATCAGAGAGCGAGTGAAGAGGAGGTGCAGAAGGGAGAAGACCATCTGGCAATGAGGTCAGTCCAGGACCAGGACTTGTGTTTGGGTTAGTCATAGTGCTTCTGGGTAAAGAGTCGGACATGGCACAGGCCTCACCATCACTGTTGATCTCTATACTGCTTGTGTCGAGGAACTCCTTCAACTTTTCCCTAAAATTTCAGACCAGGAAACAGTTAGAAACAACAATGAATCACATTATCCTAGTAAAATCATGTCTTGAGTAAAGAGCTGACCTGTTAAAGTTGTTGGTGTCTGTGAAGTGAGCCCCACATACGGCACAGTTGGACAGTCGGTCCTCTGAATGGATGAGAAGATGGCGACCAAGAGAGCCTGGGGAACTGAGAGCTCTTCCGCAAACAGGACAGACATAACTCTTACTGTCACCCACAGGTGTATGCTGTACATAGACAATAAGACACAAAGAGATTTCATACATAAATTCTTCTGAAATGAAGAGACTTAAAGGAACAGTCCAAAAATAAAAATTGTCATGATTCACTCAACTTTCTGTTGTTCCAAACCCATATGACTTTGTCTTCTAGACCATTTTTTAATAATGCACTGGTCATTGTTTCCAAGCAATTACAACAGGGACTAGATATTTCAAGTTTCAAAAAGCATGCAAAAATGGACTTAACATTTGAGGCAGTCTCCATTCATTGTAAATAATTTGAAAAGGGCGATTAGTACATCATAATTTCTCCTCATGAAAGAAAGAAAATATTACAGGTTTGGAATGGCAAACGATTGAGTGAATGATGAAAGAATTTATTTTAAATTTGGGATGTATTAAGCAACTTTTGCATAGATTTTTTAACGAAAAACAGAGCCAGACTGCCAATTTTGACACATTTCACAGAAATTCGTGAAGTGTACGATTGATGCAGACTGCAATTTTTTCGCTTCAGATTTGGATTCCATCCAGTCTGAGGATACAAAACATGTTTTGAGCTGATTTTAGTACACATACTGTTTTCATTTGTCACTAAGTGTGAGTTTGTTGTGTTCAGTTAGTGTGTGATCCCCATTTGTTTAGTATATGATGCCCAAAGTCAAAGTCAGCAAGTATGATGCCTATTGTTTTAGTCATGTTGTGTATTCTGGCCTTTAGGTGTGCTTTACAATCTGCACATAACTGATGAGCTCCGAATGTAGTTGAGTGATCTGATCACAAAACATTTTGGACCCCAGTACACATGTATTTAGCACTGTCCACTTGTGATTGGATCACCCAAGATAGAAAGAGTCTAAGGTGTAAAAAGAGTCTAAAAGATACAATAGGCTTAGGTAGTGGTGTCCTCACCTGGTAGACGTGTGCGATGAGCTGATCTGGGCTATTGAACTCCAGGGAACAAAGAGGACATACAAAACTGCTCCCCTGGTCTGTCCCCTCCTCGTTCTCCTAACAGACACAATGCAACAACAAACAGTTACAATGATAGCCAAGTTTAGAGTAACAAGACTTATAGTCTGAAATGTAGTGTAATATTTTTTTTTTATATATAGAATGATTGCACACAAGTGACTATTCCCTGAAACTGCTAATGACTGTAGCTGTGGATGACTTATGCAGCACTTGAGTGGTGTGGCAGACAAATGGATACATAAGCCCTGTGACTCATTCCAACTGTTGTGTCAACTGGGTTTCTATAGAGCCATGAGTCACCCTACAAAAATATCTATCAACCCTTAAAGATGCCAACAATCGGTGAGGTGGGATGACAAAGAATTGAATTGAATTAAAAAATTTAATGAAGTCACACAGACTTGTAAATAAAACGACAATCAGTGTCCTTTAAAAGTTCCACATGCTTAAAGGGTTATTTCACCCAAAAATGAAAATTCTGTCATTAATTACTCACCCTCGTGTTGTTCCAAATCCGTAAGACCTTCGTTCATCTTCGGAACACAATTTAAGATATTTTTGATGAAATCTGAGGGCTCTCTGACCCTCCCATAGACAGCAAGGTAACTACCAAGATCAAGGTCCAGAAAAGTACTAAGATGATCGACAAAGTAGTCCGTGTGACAGTGGTTCAACTGTAAAGTTACGAAGCTACGAGAATACTTTTTAGCGCAAAGAAAACAAAAATAACGACTTTATTCCACATTTTCGTTTCTACTGCGTCACTTGTGGACGCGCGTTCACGACAGTACCATGACGCGAGCGTGTGGCGGCGCTGACACAGATCCGGCGTAATGACGTCATCATACTGTCGTGAACGCGCGCGCAAATTTAATATCTTAAATTGTGTTCCGAAGATGAACAAAGGTCTTACGGGTTTGGAGAAGAGCCTTGGTGAGAGAGGTAAAGAAGAACCCAAAGATCACTGTGGCTGAGCTCCAGAGATGCAGTCGGGAGATGGGAGAAAGTTGTAGAAAGTCAACCATCACTGCAGCCCTCCACCAGTCGGGGCTTTATGGCAGAGTGGCCCGACGGAAGCCTCTCCTCAGTGCAAGACACATGAAAGCCCGCATGGAGTTTGCTAAAAAAACACCTGAAGGACTCCAAGATGGTGAGAAATAAGATTCTCTGGTCTGATGAGACCAAGATAGAACTTTTTGGCCTTAATTCTAAGTGGTATGTGTGGAGAAAACCAGGCACCTGTCCAATACAGTCCCAACAGTGAAGCATGGTGGTGGCAGCATCATGCTGTGGGGGTGTTTTTCAGCTGCAGGGACAGGACGACTGGTTGCAATCGAGGGAAAGATGAATGCGGCCAAGTACAGGGATATCCTGGGCGAAAACCTTCTCCAGAGTGCTCAGGACCTCAGACTGGAACTAAGGTTTACCTTCCAACAAGACAATGACCCTAAGCACACAGCTAAAATAACGAAGGAGTGGCTTCTCAACAACTCTGTGACTGTTCTTGAATGGCCCGGCCAGAGCCCTGACTTAAACCCAATTGAGCATCTCTGGAGAGACCTAAAAATGGCTGTCCACCAACGTTTACCATCCAACCTGATAGAACTGGAGAGGATCTGCAAGGAGGAATGGCAGAGGATCCCCAATTCCAGGTGTGAAAAACTTGTTGCATCAAAAAGACTCATGGCTGTATTAGATCAAATGGGTGCTTCTACTAAATACTGAGCATTTTTCAGTTTTTCTTTTTTAATAAATCTGCAAAGATGTCAACAATTCTGTGTTTTTCTGTCAATATGGGGTGCTGTGTGTACATTAATGAGGAAAAAAAATTAACTTAAATGATTTTAGCAAATGGCTGCAATATAACAAAGAGTGAAAAATTTAAGGGGGTCTGAATACTTTCCGTACCCACTGTATATTGTAGGGGTGGGAATCACATGGTACCTCACGATACGATACACGGCTGATTTTTTTTTTTCTTTGCAAGGCATTTTACAGTAAGTAACGAGTTGTCTGTGACAATGCTGTCATGCAAATCATGACAGAAGAATTTAAGATAAACACACAACAATCTACTTCTTACATTAAACCTCCATCACTCACCTCCTTGACGTCATCATGTAGTATGGGGCCGTGGTTGCTCTTATTACTTGTCATGCTGTCATCAGCAGAGGCATTTGAGGAGTCGTCTTTGTCAAAATCACTATCACCGTCGTCTGGCAGCATAGGGGGAAAAAAGTAATGTTATCAACGGCTCCATCACAGGTCACCTTGCTTTTCTTTTCTAAGACTCAACACTGAAATCACAAAACAATCACAGCTGTCTTCCTTGTTTTTAATGTTTTATTAGCAGTAAGCAAATATAGAAATAAATTCAGACAGACATGCAGTCGTGAGTTGCCTCTGAAGCTGTGTGTCTCACCACTTGTGCTGTCTTGCACTTCAGGTTCCTGTGAGTTGTTGCTATGGCATTCCCCGTCCTCAATGAAGTAATCTCTAGCATCCATCTTAAAAGTGTGCTGCGGGCCGGACAACCCAGTCGTGTGAAAAGGCCCTGTGAGTGAAACGACATAGTCACTGAATATATTTAAAACTCGTTTTTAAGGGCTTGCCTGCTTTGGTTTCCAGTGCATTGCTATGTGGTTGCTAGGATAGAGTTTTAGTGCAGAGTAGAGAGTTTTAGTTCTGGGTGATAGCTAAGGTCTTGCATACAGGCACAAGTTGGGTCACTTTAATGTAAGATTTTTTTTTTTATATAGATACGAGTTGAGGTATCATTCATGACTGTTGCACAAATGGTGTGGGAAAAAAGTTACATGCCAAACATTAATACTTAAATGTTTTTCAACTAAAAATGTAATTTTTTTCATGTTGTTCCAAACCTGTGGAACACAAAAGACGACATTTTGAAGAATGCATCAGTATCGTTTTTGTCAAAAGTCAATGGGGGTCCAGTGTTGTTTGGACCCCAACGTTCTTCAAAATATATAAATGGGTCAAAGACAAAAAAGATATATTTTAATATGTACACGTCAGAATAAGCATGTTGTTTGAATTTTTACGTAAATATTGTGTTACACTGAATGACAATGTAACATTATTTCAACCAAATTATAACATTTTATTCTCCAAAAACGTATTTGAAACCTTAAAAGTAGACACTTTACTTGCATTTAATGTGCTTTCTATGGACATATAATCACTTTTGTAAATTTCTTTTGATGCGGACATCTTAACGTCTTTGACCCAAATATATGTGATAGTGCCTTAGCAAACACACACGTTTTAAAATATTATTTAGGCCAAATTGCTAGAGGGATCTAGGCCATAAGGTGGCTACAGGAAATACAGCTATCTATTCTCACAACCAATAATGTCACGGGTATCTAGAGTAAATCTGAACTGTGGTTGTTTCTACAAACATAACAAAAAAAAGTCATGCTTTGTATGAAGCCTGTATTTATAATGGTATTTTTAAGGCATTATAATGCATGCATTATATTATGCCTTATAAAAAAAAATCTCATGAATAATCAAATAACGACAGTTATAACATTGTAATTCTTACCTATTTGTGGTTATAACTATTAAGAGTATTATGATTTATAACACACAATGAACACATTATATCAACTTAAGATACAATGGATTATAGTTTCTATAGTTATAATGTATTATAAGTATCATATCTAGACATTGTTTAAGATCTGCATAATATTGTGTGTGTGTAAAGTGACAAATAAACGTCCAAAGGCTTTATAATGTGGTCTTTTGTCTGTTATAAAAAAGTAATATAGTTTGCGTTCTTCTTTCATCTATAATAACAAAGTAACAAAAATAACCATTTTGAGATATATTATGTTGTCATGAAATAAAATTACTCGTATTGTGAAAAAAGTACACACTGGTAACAGTTTTTTTTAAATTGCAAGTATTGTTATTTAAATTAATAAAACTAAGAATTTTCCTGTTGTTTTAGGTTTTTGCTGTGCTTATCCGTTCACTATCTGTATTGAGATATTTTAGTTATCATATCAAATCATAATTCTGGTATCTTGACAACACTAATTATGTTGTTACAATTATTCATAAAATGACACAATTGTAGATTTTACATTTAAGGTTCCATTAGTTAACTACATTAGTTCATACAAACTAACAATGAAAATACTTCTAAAGTATTCATCTTAGTTAAAATACTTCTAAAGCATTTAATAATGTTACTTAATTTCAAGATGTATTAATACATTAATAAATCAAAAGTTGCATCTGTTAATATTATTTAAAGGGGTCATATGATGCGATTTCAAGTTTTCCTTTCTCTGTGGAGTGTTACAAGCTCTTGGTACATAAAGAAGATCTGTAAAGTTGCAAAGACTAAAGTCTCAAATCCAAAGAGATATTCTTTATAAAAGTTAAGAGTCAGCCACGCCTACCTAGCAACATGAGCAGTTTTTAATCTAAATTAGATTGTATAATTTCGAAATTTGAATCAAAAACAGAATGGTTTGACTTCAGTTTTGTGAAACTATTCATAGAAAATATCTGCATGAAACAGAAGTTCCCCTCAGACATGGATTCTTATAAACTCCTACACCTAAATGAATCCCAATTTGTTTAGCATCTCAACCGATTTGAATCGTCACATATTTGAATCGATTTTCAACCGGCTCGCGGTTAATCGTTACATCCCTCTCTGACCTAACATAAACTAACAATGAACAGTTCTATTATTATTAACTAACATTAACAAATTGTAACAAGTGTTTTTGCTCATTGTTAGTCAATGCATTAACTAATGGGACCTTACTGTAAAGTGTTACTTTTTTTAAAAATATTTATATATATATATATATAAGGCATTATGCAAGCATTACAATGAATACCCTTATAATGCATTATAAACACAGGCTTCGTAGAAAGAATCCTAGATGTACTGTTTTCAACACATCAAAAAGCCTGAATCTGAATAATTCTCGCTTACATTTTGAATTTCAAAGAAAAGACCGACCGAATCAACAACAGAGGCCAGAGCTGCGGTGGTGTTGTGTGATCAGAACAATAGTTGATGCTGCATTAACACATTACAAACACGCACACTCCACCTCACGCTCACCAACCCCCACGTTACACGCTTAACTCAACATACACTGCAGTCCCAGAGGAAACAGCCCGCATCTCCTGCGCCGAGTCCGTGCCTCTAATGTAAGAATCATCTCCTCCAGAAGCACTCCATACGCCCACACGGAGATGCTTTTCCCTCTGCATGCATCCCATTACTCCAAACACCTTCTGCGAAGCTGCTTTAATCAGTAGCATGCTTTCCAATGAAAGTGCTAGTGCAACACGACACAGTGTTTCTGGAAGGTCGACGAGGTGTTGCTATCGTCTTCATAACTGTTGTAAGCATGTAGCTATGTGGTTGCTACAGGGCCAAGCCTCAGATATGACTGTGATTTTTACCACCGGTTTTATCGTTCGTTAGGCAAAAATGGAGCCGAGTCGGATCTCTCGTAAAATTAACACCTGATTTGATGTATTGACCTTCTGATAATATTGTTTTCAAGTCCAAGCCTCTACTCCGTTTTAACAGCTGTTTATGAGCACTAAGATTTTACACCTTTAAGCAAAACTTCTCAAAAACTCAATATTTTAATGATTCCGAAAAGATGAATCACTGTCTGGCCAATTTTGGTCTGGAGATCAGGGTTAGAATCATGATTTATTGGTAGTGCTACAGCACACAGTAAGTGTGTATTAGTAGAGATGTAAATCGGTCGTTTTATTAAGATAGAATCTGACATTATCTTAACCAGCAATACGATATTTGCCGGTACCTCAAAACTTGATAACATTTGATAACATTCAGGTGCCTGTGACGAATATATCGATAAGATGTTATGTACCTATTTTACACAACCAGTTACATTTTCATTCACTCACAAATGCAACCAAAATATAGCATGAGCATTTAATTTAACTCCTGTATCTAACTGGGACATCAACAACAACAAAAAAATCAATTCGCATAAGATCATCAATCGTAAGTGTGTATTAGTAGAGATGTAAATCGGTCGTTTTATTAAGATAGAATCTGACATTATCTTAACCAGCAATACGATATTTGCCGGTACCTCAAAACTTGATAACATTTGATAACATTCAGGTGCCTGCGACGAATATATCGATAAGATGTTATGTACCTATTTTACACAACCAGTTACATTTTCATTCACTCACAAATGCAACCAAAATATAGCATGAGCATTTAATTGAACTCCTGTATCTAACTGGGACATCAACAACAACAAAAAAATCAATTTGCATAAGATCATCAATCGTTTGATGACAGCTCTTTATTGACTTGAACAATGACAAGTCTTTCAGTCTTCTGTGCTCTCTAAAACATGCAACTCTAGTATCCCTATTAAAACACAGACAACAAAGTTAGGTGCTCCAGTTGTTGAGAAAATGCATTTATACAGAAAAAGTATTTTCATTGTATCATATATTGTTAGTCATTTGATCGATGCATCGATCCATATCCGTGGGGTTTGCTAAAATCCTTAAACGGACAGTTGACCCAAAAATGAATCTGTCATCATGCACTCGCCCTCATGTCGTTCCAAACCTGTAGGACTTTCTGCAGAAAACAAACAAAAGATATTTTGAAGAATGTTGGTAACCAAACAGTTCTGGTGGCCATTCATTTCCATTATACACTCCTAAAATAAAGTTGTTGTTTTTTTTGCCGCCGATAAAGAGCATCCATACACTCTTAAATATAAGGGTTCCAAAGGGTGTTTTCACAGCGATGCCATAGAAGAACCATTTTGGGTTCCCCAAAGAACCTTTCCGTGAACAGTTCTTAGAAGAACCATGATTTACTTTCTTTTTACTAATGTAAAGAACCTTTTGTGGAATGGAAAGGTTCCATGGATGTCAAAAAATGTTTTTGGAACCATCAATGCCAATAAAGAACCTTTATTTTTAAGAGTGTGGAATCTTTCCATTTCACAAAAGGTATTCTTTAGTGGAATAAGGTTCTTTAAGGCTGGAGACACACCAAGCTGACGGTCGGCCGTTGGCCATCGTCGGGCCGACGGCGAGCGACGGTCGGGCTAGTTTGTTTGGTGCGTTCCACTCGTCGGGCTCACGTCGGTGACAGTTTGCCCGATTCACAATGTTGAATCGCCGTCGGGACCGTCGGCGCGTGTGAGAGCCCTAATTGGATGTTCAGTTTAGCGAACGAGTCGGTGCCCGAGAATTAAAGCGAAAGTGATGAAAACAAGCACGTAAATGAAGGCGGTAAAGACAGATGGCTGTTTAAATGTTACGTGATCTTTCCCAATCATTCCGAATATATACTATTGATAGCTGCTGATATAGACAGTTAATTCCTCTCACGCATGCGCAGAACGCACGTGTTAGTTTGCCGTCGGCTGTAGTCCGTGCGGTGTGTTCGAGCGCAGCTTTTTGGTCCGACGCGAGGCGACAACACCGTCGGCTTTCGTCGCCGCTAGTTCTTTGAAGTCGGCTTGGTGTTTCTAGGCCTTTAGATTATTAAAATGTTCTTTACACTAAGAAAAAATTGTTCTATTAAGAACTGTTCAGCGAAAGATTCTTTGGGGGAACCAAAAATAGTTCTTTTATTGAATCACTGTGGAACCTTCGTTTTTAAGAGTGTATGTACAAAAAAAAAGAAGACATTGTTCCACAGAAAAAAAGAACCTCAAACAGGTTTGGAACAACATGAAGGTGAGTAAATAATGACCGCATTTTCATTTTTGGCTGAACTATCCCATAACTCTATGTGTGAGCAACAGTAATAGTGATGTTTGCCTCAGCTCAAAGCTACTGATATATTGTTAGACCAAGTTCAAAGTGGACTACAATCTGATTTTATAAAGTCATCGTGTTGAACTTCAGCAAGCTTTAGACTGCATTTGAGCTCAGACCATTTCAGGACTGCCTCCACCACATGTTGTCTTCCCATCTGAAAAACAACAGCCGACGGATGTAATGCTTTACATCCACTACTAATCACCAAAGATTGTCAAGAGTTTCCACCCTACTTTCCCAGCATCCTCGGGACGGTTTCTAAGGGTGTTTAGGAGCATCTACAAGTACAGAAGATTTGCATGAGGGATATCAGCGTTAAAATACGAATGGATACAACAGAGCGGCTCCGCGGCAGTCAGCCCGTGATTGATGCAAGCGCATTTCCCATCCCCCTCTGCCAGTTCTGTCTGTACATCTGTCTCTCCACCCTCCCTCCGTCTTCTCCTCGCTCCCCCCTCTGTGCCACTGTGATGTTATCTCAGAGTCTGTGTGTCTGTAGGCAGGAGGTGACGCAGTGTCTGTCTGAATCCAGACAAAGAGACAAACTCATCAGCCAACAGACACGAGAGAAAAGGCTGAAGTCATTGAAGGGTGGGTGGGAAGTTTGGGAACAAAACAGACAAAAAGAGACAAAACTTAACTTGGATGCCAAACAATGAGAGCACTCCTGAATTCAAACCATCCCACAGCCTTTACAAACCCACCAAAAAACAGTACAAATCCTGAGAACGGGCAGGGGACGGGGCCCTCGCACGCGGTCTAGTTTGGTGGGCTGGAAGAATAGTCATAGACAGATATCAGATAAACCCAGACAAGCAATTCAGGCCTCACTTTGCTTAATTGACAAAGCCAGGCATGATGGAAGAACAAGATCAGTCATACAGGTTCCCATGGAGTAACGTTTCCCATAGTGCGCCCCACTGTGTCTGCAAGAGCCCCTATTTTTTTTTACTAAGAATCACTATGAAATGGAAAAGACGGAGTAACATTTACAAAAAAGTCTTAGCCTTTCACTTTCATCAGCTCTGAAAATATTTAAATCATAAATACACAAAGTAGTTGCTGGAAACTATACTGAAAAAAATGGTGTAGGATTTAATTTAAACTATTTTCACTCAGAAATTGCTAGTAAATTTCACAAATAATTACAAAGAAACAGCAATACAGTGAATTCAACTTTTAGGAGTAGAAAGACTGAAATGGTATTTTCTTGTAAAACATAATCCAATAAACTTTTATTTAACTAAAAAAAAAAAAAAAACTAAAACAATAAAAAAAAAGTAAAACTATAATATGTAACTGTAAATGTAAAATATTTTTTTACAGTGTAGTGTGTGTAAATAAATATATATATATATATATATATATATTGCAGGGGTAGCAAGTTACTTTTTTGGTCTTCAGTCAGGTAACACCTTTATACAATAAAATATCAATTATATACAGCACAAATTACTATAAGACAATCATAACATTTCATTAACACTGCCTGCAATGTAGCCAACTCGCAACTTTTCAAAACCATCTGAAATTATAAATCACCATACATCAACGATTATTAATGACCGTCGCATCACATTTACATTGTGGATTGTGTGTCCCTCAATAAAGAGAGAATCGCAAACAATGATATGCTAATAACGTATAATTATGCAGTTACTGGGGTTGGATGAGAGCTTCAACATATTCAGAAGGTGAACTGGATCATGAGGTTTTGGTGATCATGACCTTAAACCAAAAACACGTGCTATGAGTGAACATATGTGTTAATTTGATGCTGATTTATCAAAATTGGATTTCAGTAACATTTCTAAATAAAAACAAATAATAATTGCACGTGTCAAGGGTAACGCTACTCATTGAGGAAACCGGTTTCTTACATAGATGTGATAGTGTTCTGTCACTACACTGTCTCTACAAGTAATAAAATCGTCATGTCCATGTAGTATTCATTTATTGGTAAGTACTGTCTGCCACACACACACACACACATATATAGGCCTAAAGTAACTTGTGTAGTATATATATATATATATTAGTGCTGTCAAACGATTAATCGCGATTAATTGCATACAAAATAAGTTTTTGTTTGCATAATATATATGTGTGTTCTGTGTATATTTATTATGTATATATAAATGCACACACATACAGTATATATTTTGAAAATATTTACATGTCTGTATTTAAATTCATATCATTTATATTATAAATAAATAATATATAAACAACATATTTGTTTGAAATATATACATGCATGTGTGTGTATTTACGTAATAAATAGACAGCACACATACATTACGTAAACAAAAACTTTTATTTTGGATGCGATTAATCGCGATTAATCGTTTTACAGCACTAATATACATGTATAAAGACCATTATTTAAGGTTATGTAGGGCTTCAGTCTCTTTGCAAATTATCAGAAGTAAATGAATGTGAGGATATTTTCGGTTCATCAAGACAAACAACAAACACTAAGGTTTCAGGTGTATAATCGCGTGTATATCCTCTATATCAGGTTTCAAACAAGCTGGCACTGTGAACATATTGTGATGAGAGTTTGTGAACGCCTGGCCTGTGGCTGTTGTCCTCGTACAGTACAATGCGGATGTAAGACTTGACGAAAGCAAACATCTCAATGCCACACTGTATCATGATGATCTCGATCAGCTCCAGGAGACCCGAAGCCCGTTTTACACGCACGAGGAAATGAAAAGTGTTTACGATACCTGGGATACCTACAATTCACTTTGAAAGGGTTGGTCTGTTTGCGTCTTGACATATTATCCCCCGCTCCCGGATGAAAAAAAGTCGAATCTCTTCTTTGATCCGACTGATGTGAAGATGCTTTTGGCCAATCCGAAGGTGAATGTATTAAAGCTGAAAACAATCCAGCAAACAAAACGCTCCGAACGGGCAGAACTGAGCACTAGACGGCTACATTGGCCGGCGCGGTTAGGTTCATTTGACTAAAAGAGAATTAAAGATCACTTTTGCGCAAACAGGCGTCTTGGTCGGCGATGAGAGCGAGTTCATGTCGATAGAGTTCGGTTTCCAAACGTAAGAGACCGGGGAAAGATGAGGGGAGATGATGTGAAAGTCCTGCGCCACTGTAGCCGGGCAAATACACTGCAGAGACTCTTCACCTACATGCATTTCAAGCAATGAGCTGAAGTGAGAAGAATAACTAATGTAATCATCCACCTCCCGCTGTCCGTGAACGAAATGCTAATGCTCCTATAGAGGGCGCACTGCGGCTCACAAAACCCACTTACCCATTAAAATACATTGACGTGTTTTGTCTATTTAGAAACATTTGTCAAAGTGTAAAGGTTATCATTGATATACTCTAACTTTGAATGGTTTGCACTTCATATGCAAAGGAAAGAAGGTCGCAGCATGTTTTGCGGAATCGTATTTTCCAAGTCAGCGGTGATTGGTTCATCCTCAACAGCGCTGAGAAAAGTAACAAGCGGCACGTGTTAGTCTTCGCGTTTAAACTAAACTATAACACCGAGAAAAGGTTATATATTTCAATTCAGTGGGTACAATATTGAAGCCATTATAAAACCCCTTGTGCTGTACTCAAAAGTTATTTTATAAACACAAAAAATACTTGCGCTGATAGATAATCTGATTGTTGCACATGTGATGAATAGCTGTTGCAAGTTAAATGGGTTTTAAGGAGCAAATAAAGTTGTACCTGCCTGAGGAACTTCGCGTATTTGACCACTTGGCGATTACTTCCTAGCCGTTTTTCTTCCCCACCCCTTTTAATCGCAATTATTTTTTTGTAAATTACCTTTCTAGCAGTTTTTCCATTTCTATGATTGTAAGCCTGTTTGGTTTGTAGGAAACAACGAGACGCATTGTGGGATACACGTACGTGGATGTGGAGTACAAAGCTGTTTTTCCTATCTAAAACAGCTGTTTATCATTATCTATCTATCTATCTATCTATCTATCATCTGTTTATCATTATCTATCTATCATCTGTTTATCTCTATCTATCTATCTATCATATGTTTATCATTATCTATCTATCTATCTATCTATCTATTACAAAACTATACAGGTATTCAAGGGCAGGCTTTAAGATGGTTTAGATCCTACCTGTCCGATCGCTACCACTTTGTTCATTTAAATGGGGAGTCATCTCAATTATCACCAATAAAATATGGAGTGCCACAAGGATCTGTCCTAGGTCC